CGGAGCCTGCACAACCTGCTGTAAGCTGAAGGCAGAGCCAGGCCTGCGGTTTGAGTGGGTGGGGTTTCCGGAGGCAGGCAGAGAGGGGCTCCAGGGGAGCTTGCTTGGTGGCACGTGAGGGCGGGGGGTGAGGGAGGGTGGCTGCTAGCAGTTTGTAAGCCCTCAGCTGCCCCCACCCCCAGGCTCTGAGGTGCGGGCTCAGCTGAAGACCACAAGGGCAGAGCTTGGGGAGGCGCAGAAGAAGCTGCTGGAGCAGAGAAGCACCCTGGAGGAGCTGCGGGACAGCGGTGAGGGCCTGTGGGGCCACCACCTCAGACTGCCGACCTCGGCCTGATCCGACCCTCCACTCACATCCCACCCCCCTGTGACTCCCTCTGACCCCATCCTCTGAGCCTGACCTTGACTGCTATGCCCAGCCATGGTGCAGCCCTAACCAACTCCGATAAAACTGTCCGACTTTGCCCCTGCTGAGGTCCTTCTGGACCCTGGTGCCCAGCCTGACATTGGCCTGTAACATGGTTCCTGACCCTTACCAGGGCAGGACTCTGCTCATAGCCTGGACTCTTCCAGCTGTAATTTTTACTCTCCCGGCCCCCCAGCGGGAGGCCTGGGGCGTCGTGGTGATGCCTTGGGCCCCCTAGGTGAGGGTCCCAGTGTAAGAGCAGCAGCCTCTCAGAGGGAGACCGATGGGACTTTCTGTTTCCTAGAAGAGTTACAGGTTCTCTCAGAGTCCGAATCAACTCAATGGTGGTGATTTTGGCTTTTTGTTATTGTTGTTTTGGCAGTGACCAAGAACGTGGCCCAGGCGGGCAGGGACCGAAATGCTATCCGCACTGAACTACTGCGGGCGCTGGAGGCTGCCAAGCTCGGCAACAGTGAGCACCTGGGGGGACACAGTGGACACCACGTGTGGGCCTCCGGTCCCCTGTTATGCCCACCCCTATGGCCTTGGTTCTAGTTCCTTGGAGGCTGCCTCAGGCTTTGGGGTCCAGCACACCCCATTCTCTGGATCGGTTCCGTCAGGGAGGTGAGGCCATTCTCGACCCCTGTCCACCCCTGCAGACTCCTGTGAGCCATGCCCCAGGTCGTGGCTGCCCTTCGAGGGCTCCTGCTACCTTTTCTCGGAGCAAAAGAACACGTGGGAAGCCGCCCTGAACAGCTGCCAGAACGCAGGCGCACACCTAGTGATCGTGGACGACCTGGAGGAGCAGGTGCTCAGGGGAGGCGCTTTGCACCCAGGGGCGGGGTAGATGGGCGTGGCTCGGAGTGGCTGATTCGCTGGCCCATTCTCCCCTCCTACCCAGAGCTTCTTGAGCGCACACACGCGTGGGCGTGGCTTCTGGCTGGGCCTCAAGGCTGTGCGTCAGCTGGGCAAGATCCAGAGCTACCAGTGGGTGGATGGCGTCCAGCTGACTTTCAGGTGAGGGCGGGGCACCTGTCACTGTCGGAGAGAGGCTGGTCTGACTCTGCAAAGCGCCTTGGCTAGCTCTCAGGGGCTCCTCTGCTCAGGCTCAAAACGGAACAAAAAACCTCAGAGCCATCAAATTGATTTGGACGCCTGGTGACCCTATCAGACAGAGTAGATGTGTCCTTGTGGGTTTCTGAGACTGTTACTCTTTACAGGAGTAGAGAGCCTTAGTGTGGTTTCGAACTGCTGACCCTGGCATTAGCATCTCAAGGCATAACCATGACCTCCGCAGCCCCTCAGGCTAAACCTCAGGGCCTGGCTAAAGAAAGCATATCCCTGGGTCCTGATCAAGCTAGAGGTTCAGGCGCTAAGCTTAGACCTAAGAAAGCATATTCCAGGGTCATGTTCAAGCTGGTCTCAGGCGCTAAGGTTAGACCTAAGAAATAATCAGCTTGACCCCAAGCCCATACTTAGCAACACTCCCACCCAACCGCTGCAGCCACTGGAATGTGGGGGAACCCAACGACTCTCGGGGGCTAGAAAACTGCATCATGATGCTGCACACGGGGCTGTGGAACGATGCACCTTGTAACAATGAGAGGGACAACTGGATCTGTGAGAAGAGGCGCCGCTGCTGATCCTGAACTCTACAATCACTCCTCTGCATCAGGGCTCCGCCCAGTTGCCCACAGCCACGCCCACTGCCATCACTTCCCCCCTCCAGACTCCTCCTGTACACAGTACCCTGGTTTTTCCACCCAGGTTTGAGACCTGGGTGCTTTGATCTCACCTCCCTGTAGTCCACATTCAGGTGACTCAGAGATTCCTCAGAGCTGTAAGCAGCCAGCCCCCAAACCCTTCTCTGCACCCTGTACAATGCAGCATGCTGCAACACATCTCTCCTGCCCACGAGGAGCTCTGGGACCTCTGGGTAGACGACTGGCTCAGCCAGTCTGAAGCCTTTCCAGACAGCTCTTGTCCCTCCATCTCTCCCCACACTGGGTGGACCCTGTCTTGTGAGCTCTCTTGGCAGCCCGGGGGAGCGTCAATAAATATTTGAGAATTGAATCTTGGCTCCTGTTCTTAGCTTCTAAGGCCCGAAAAGCCAACCTCTGAAAACACCATGGAGCACAGTTCTAATCTAACACACAGAGGGTCACCCGGCGTCTGGATCAACAATATCAGGATGATGTACTAGGGAAGTGTCCAGGCCCGAAGCCTTAAATAGAGGGGCAGTTTCTCACGAACCCCACTATTTCTCCAGCCCCTGCCAAGAGGCTGAGCTCCAAGGGTGCGGTGGGAGCAGACGTGGGCCAGACTGGACCCATTTCACCCGAACCTTCCCACGCAGCAGGAAAATGATATCAGGGCCCTGGGTCAGCTACTTTGCTGTTCCTTAGATGCAAAGGAAAACAACAATAAAATATGGCCTCACTTCAGTATGAATGGCAAGATTTTAAAAATTGAAAACAACACATGCTGGTGAGAATGCGTCTAGACTGGAGCCCTCACACACGGCTGGTGGGATTGTAACATGGATTGTGTTTTATAGAGAGACACATCCAACGACTCTGATCGATGTTCAAGAAAGAATTGCATTTCAGGAAATAATCTTATATCAAGGAGGCATCCCAGACCAGTCCCACACCAGTCCATGAGTCCAGCGCTAGCCAGGGCTCTCTGCTGACTAACAACGCAGAAAGGTGGGGCCATGATGCAGGAAGATTCGCAGACCGGGTGGATCCAAAGCCAGTGGGAACCTAGCCGGGTCCCTTCAGCTCTCACGATCAAGCACACATACGGGTCCGCCAGAGGCAGGAGGAGGCTCAGCAAGCAGGAAGGCAAAGGGTCAGAGAGAGGGTGGGGTTCCCAGTTTCTCCTTATAAGAAGGCCACACCCCCAAGGAGGCATCATCAGGCTGTGACCTGATTGACAGGTTGGACTTCTCCCCTACCCTTCCATAACAATTCATGTAAGCATGAAATCATCTAACTGCCACATGCAGCAATCCCTATGGAAATAGGTACGGTGCGTCCTCAAAAAGCCGGAAATAGACATGTCTTCTGACCCAGCAATCCCTCTACTTGGCATATGTCCAAGAGGAATAACTGATGTGTGCACACCCATGTTCATCACAGCACGATTCACTTTACCCAAAAGGAAACAACCTCAATGGCCTTCGGTGGAGGAATCGATCAATAAACGTTGGTACATACACAGACCAGACCGCTACACAATGTTGAACAATAAAGATGAATTGTTGAAATACCTCATACCATGGATGAACCTGGAAGACATCATGCTGCATGAAATAAGTCAATCACAAAGGGACAACGATTGCATGAGACCATTATGATCATGAGCATTCTTTGAGTGTTACCAGGGGCAGAGAGAAAGAGGAAGTCCCAGGCCAGAGGAGAGGCAGGTATTAAGGAGTCTGACGAGAGAGTGGGTAGGAAAGAAGGAACCGATTACAGGGAACTATATGTGACCTCCTCCCTGGGGGATGGACAACAGAAAAGTGGGTGAAGAGAGACGTCGGACAGGGCAAGATATGACAAAATAACAATTTATAAATTATCAAGGGCTCATGGGGGTGGTGGGATGGAGAAGGGAAGGGAAAAATGAGGACCTAATGCCAGGGGCTTAAGTGGAGAGGAAATGTTTTGAGAATGATGAGGGCAAGGAATGTACAAATGCGCTTTACACAATTGATGTACGTATGGATTGTGATCAGAGTTGTATGAGCCCCTAGTAAAATGATTTTTAAAAAAAGGAGTCTGATGAGAAAGCCAATGCACAATAAGAGGGAGGTTAGAGAAAAGATGATGGAGATGGGAAGAGAGTAGGAGGTTTGCCAAACATTAAGGAGACAGATGCAAATGCTGTTTTATATATAATCCTGCAGTAATGGTGATCTCCAAGTAGATGCTTGGATAGACAGGCAGACTGAACAGGTGTGGAGGGAGAATGGGAATGTAATCATGAATATATATAGGTTTGACAGAGGAGAGTCATATATGTGTGCTTATTCCTGTTGCAAATATATCCATGAATGGGATGGAGCATGTATAGGGGGAAATTATGACAAGTTCTTAAGCATAACCAAACCCACCGAGGGAGCCAGTCCCCAAGCCTGGAGGCTCAAGACCACAGTCTCAAGGGACACCAAGATCACTCGGTAAAAAACTGAACCTGGTTCACCCAGACAGTGTTGTGTATCCTACTTTAGTGAGTGGGAACTGGAGTTTTAAAAGTTCGTGCAAAAAAGTTTGCAATCGCCAAAGGTGCCAATATTGGTCTCAACCTGTCCAGAGGAAAGAAAAGCAATAGCAATCAAGAGGCACCTGGAAACAACGAGCCCAGTGGACTCATGGGCCAGGCCAATAGCAGTCATCACAACCAGGAGACCAGAAGAACAAGATAGCACCCAGCTTCCACTAGCAACTGCTCTTCAAGGGATCACATTAGAAGCTCCCAGAGAGAATGGAAGAAAAATGTGGACCGGAACTCAAAAACCATAAAAAAGACCAGGCTGATTGGGCAGGCACAGACTTCAGACCTTAAATCGAATTCACCTCCATGATAGAATAACCAGCCATTTAAAATCCAAAGGCCAGCCTTTACCCATGGACAGAGGGTTAGGCAGGGCAGGAGGGATGGAAACAGGTCCACGAAGAGGAAGTGGGATACACGGTGGTACATGGAACGGATTGAAATGACTGAGCTAAGACAAAATGGGTGTGCCTTGTTGAAGGTGAAGCTGCTGGTCGGCTCTGTAGACCTTCACCGAATTCACAATGAAAAGTTAAAAGCAGATTC